ATGAACCAGAATGCAGCAGTACTTATTCTACATAATAAAAGGATAACATGAGAATATTAGGAGCTTCAGACCAATAAACCTGCCAGTGTGGATGGAACGAACGGGAAGGCCTTGAAAGGTACAAACGTCCACTCAGAAATGAGACAGAAAATCTAAACAGCTCTAAATCTATTAATGAAATTGAATTTGGAATTTAAAACCTTCCCACAAAGAACACCCCGGCCCCAAATCTTTTCAGTGAGAATTCCATCAAGCATTTAAGAAAGAAATAATGCCAATTGTACACAAATACATACATTTCATACAATTTGTGGAAGCTGGCATCCTGATTCTAAAACTCATATGGAAATGAAAAGGACCAAGCAAAGGAAAATAATTTAGAGACAAAAGAACAAAATTAGAAGACTTATACTATCTGATTTCATCAAGCTATAATAATAAAAATAAGAGAGTGTCCTCCTGCCAGAGGACAGACAGGTCAACCAAACTCAATAGTGTAGAAATAGACTCTTGACATTTATGGTCCCTGATTTCTGACAAACATACCAAATTAATTCAGCAAGGACAAAGAGTCTCTTTAAGAAATAGCGCTGCAACAAGTAGTGGTCCCTAGGGAAAAACACACCTCAATCACTCTCCTAAACCTACACAAAACTAAACTGCCTGTGGACCGCAGCTGTACACACAAAAGCTACAAGTGTGAAGCCTCTGCTGGACCCCAGGCTCTCCCAGCCCTGGGTGGATGCAGATTTCTTAGACAAGACATGAAAATCATGAGCCACAGAGGATGAAATGATAAAATGGACTTAACAACTGAAATCTGCAACCGTTCACACTTCAAAAGAAAAGCAAGCCACAAATTGAGATAAATATCCTCTCGTGTGTATTATGTACACACATGCAAATACATATGTGCGTATACACGTACACAAACACGTGTACACACGAATATGTGCATTATGTACACACATGCAAATACATATGTGCGTGTACATGTACACAAACACGTGTACACACGAATATGTGTATTATGTACACACATGCAAATACGTATGTGTGTACATGTACACAAACACGTGTGCACACGAATATGTGTATTATGTACACACATGCAAATACATATGTGTGTACACATACACAAACACGTGTGCACACGAATATGTGTATTATGTACACACATGCAAATATGTATGTGTGTACACGTACACAAATATGTGTGCACACGAATATGTGTATTACGTACACACATGTAAATACGTGCATGTGTACACACAAATATGTGTATTATGTACACATACACACGCCCATGTAAAAAAGGATCTTAAAGGCAGAATATGTGAACTCCTATGGAGCAAGAATTCAAAACACCCAATTAAAAATAGGCAAGGACTGACATAAATTTGAAAAATAGAATGGCTAACAAGCACATTAAGAGATGTTGGGGGTGCTCGGTAAGCTCCCCCTACCAGGTACAATGTAGGAGCATATGGCACCCCTCCATATACTCAACTACAACTCTACTTTGCCTTACACACAAAAAACATTGTAACCTAATCATATGTACCCCGTATTAATACAAATTTTTTTTAAAAGATGTTGAACACCACTCACTAGTTGTAAAGAAAATGCAGAATAAATGCAGTGAGCTACCACTATGGATTATTAGAATGGGCAAAATTTAACATGCTGATAACACCAAGTGCTGCAGCGGGGGGCTGCAGGTCAGTGGAACTCTCACACTTCCTGGGTGGGAGTAAAAATTGGTGCAGCTGCTCTGGAGGGCAGCTTGGCAGCTTTCTGGAAAGTCACTAGCTGCACCGCCGCGCCATCCAGCCACTGCACCTCGACCTGTATTACCTAAGAGGAGTGAGACACGTCCACACAACGCTCACACACAGACATTAATAGCAGCAGATTTGTAATGGCCCCAAGCTGGAAACAACCCAGATGTCCATCCTGAGCTGAGGGAATAGAGCAGCTGAGGCCATGGCAGCCTCAGCGACAGGAAGGAACGCCAGAGCCACGCAGCGCAAGGTGAATCTCCACGCATCATGCTGATCCAAGAGCCAACCCCACTGAGCATGGGCATGCTCTGGGCTCCGTTGGTAGGAAACTCAGGCGAGGGAGCCCACAGGGACAGGCAGCAGGTCATCAGCTGCCAGCAAGGGCCCAGGGAGCTGTCTGTGGTGACCAGGTCCACACAAGGTCAGGCTCCCTGAGCTGCTGCTCAGGTCAGGTGGGTCGCATCACAGTCTGTGAGGCCGTGGTGGAGCTGATTTTAGTGGGATGTTTCTCGGCACTGCTCAGGTCAGTGTGTTGGATCACAGTCTCCGAGGCTGCGGTGGAGCTGATTTTACTAGGCATGTATCTCAGTGGCAGATTCTGTCTTCAAGCCTAGAATTGGGGGCCCCAGGCTTCCCATTCAACCTCCTGCTAGAAGTGGGCACACTTGGTGACTGAAGGAAGGTACTATCCCCCCAGGTGACACAAAAAAACCCTAAAGCCTCTGGGGAAACCCAGCTGCCTGGTGGCTTGGGCTTCATCCCAGACATGACTGTTTAGGAGACAGAAGGGACAGTGTCCCCTTTCCTGTGACCTGGGCTTCCTGAATGCATTTTAAATGCTTTTTATTTTTTATAGAAATCACAATCAAATAAGTGAAATAATTATAATTAAAGAAGCTTTAGTCAGATTGAGACCCCAGTAGACCCCAAGGAGGGGAACCCAACGTGCCCTGTCCCCATCCAGCCCTGCCCTGAGCCTGGGCTCCAGTTCCTTCAGCTTTCTGCCCTCACCCTGGCGTGTGCAGTAGCCTGAGAACCAGGTCCCAGTGCCCCTGGGGAGGAGACACTAAGGAAATCTTCACCCCGTGCCTACACCTCAGGACCCTCTGTACCCAAGACTGAAACCCTCCCAAGACCCAAGGGCCCATCCGTCGTACGCAGCACCCATCTGGGGTACACTGGTATTACTGTGGAGAACAAAATGAGAGGCCGATGCTTTTCTTCTGCCCCCAAACAAGTCAGTTCCTTTTAGGTTAGATTCAGTTCCTGCTCCCGAGTGAGATGAGCACATGTGGCAAAACCTGCCCTGCCTGGGACTTCCCGCAGGCCCCCATGCACCCCAGGGACTGTCATCTCCCGACACAGGAGCCAGTCCTGTTCCTGGATGCCCGGAGAGACTCTTCCCACAGTGAGGAACATGCTAACGTGCCGTCCTGTGGCCAACAGGAGCGCATGGAGTCCCCTGAGACCTGTGGGCTCCGTGAGCCGACTGTCCGCAGGAAGAGCTCTCATCTTCGACACCAGCACCGAGACAGGCAGCCAGACCTCGGCAGTCTGTTCAACTGACAGCTCTTCCCTTGTGGACATTTGGTTCTGCTCAGGCTAAGGATGACACCTGGAGACACTGCTGCACTCACTGTGCCAGCACCGTGCCAACCGTTTTGTATGCGAGTTGGGCCTCACCCCAGAGCAAAGATGAGCCAGCCCCGTGGCTGGGCAGGATCCTCCACCACTTCCTTGAGCTGTGTGATCTGCACTGGTCATCCCATCACATGGCGGCCTCACGCTAAGTGAAGCTCAGCCAGCAGCTTCAGACGGGTGGCTCTGCTCCTCATGGCAGTGACAAGCACGGGAACAGCTCCAAGACCAAGGAGATGCCACTCCCAAGGCCCTGCCTGCCTCTCACACCTGTCCTGTGGTGTAAGGTGCAGGGCAAAGCCAGGACACCTTTGTGTAAGTGGTGACCCACATGCAGCAAGGCCCAGCCCCAAGTTCAGACCCTGTCACTGGCAGTGGGACAGTGGGACAGCATCCCATCCTCCTAACTACAGCTCCTGCCTGCTCTCCTCATGGAAGCTGTTATGTACTCACCAGGAGTCTTCCCTAGAAAAAGCCTTTGTTTTTTCTTACTGTGATAAAATACACATGACATAAAATTCACCATTTTAACTACGTGTAGTACATAGTTCAGTGGCATTAACTACATCTACATTGGCAGTGGTCACCAACCAGCTCCAAAACTTTCTCCTCCTCCCTGAAACTCAGTCCCCGTGAAACAGACTCTCTGTCCCATCCCAGCTCCTGGCCCCCACTCTTGCCATCTCCAGGGACCGCACAGAGTGGGTTAGAATAGTGTCTGACCTTTTGTTTCTGGCTTATTTCACTCAGCATAAACCCCTCAATGTTTATCCATGTCCTAGCAGATGATGGCAGGATGTCCTTCCTTTTTAAAGCTGGATAATATTCTATTGTATGCAGACCACATTTTCCTTACTTGCTCATCTGCTGATGGCCACTTGGGTTGCTTCCTGGTTTTAGCTGCTGTGACTAGTGTATCTGTGATCACTGGCATGCAACTCTCTCTTCTAGACCCTGATTTCAATTCTTTCCTTTTTTTTTTTTTTGGTGGAGGTGCTGGGGAATGAAGGTTTCAATTCTTTTGGAACTATTCCATTAAAAGGAATCGCTGGGTCATGTGGTCATTCTGTTTAATTTTTAGGAACTGCCACGGTTTTCTGTAGCAGCTGCAGCCCTTGACGTGCCCAGCAACAATGCGCTGGGGCCAAAGTGCGTAGCAACCCTCTGAGTGTGAGGAGGTCCAAAACTTACTAAAAATACTTGCCAAGAATCAAAATGGACAGCATTCTTTGTTCTTGTGAACAGCGAAAATTGGCCCCATTGCTACAAAGTGGTGGAGACTATTAGGCCTGGAAGTAGTTTGGCTAGGAGAGTGGGATTCAAAGAACGCCATGGGATGGGGGGTGTGCCTGGGCGGGCAGGAGAGAACTGGCTGCACCTGGCCCGGGTGTTGTGACCTTGGTTATTCAGCCTTGGGCCCCCTGACCACCTGTCACTACTGCTAGGTGGGGTCTGTCTACTGCTGGGACTAGCACACACCCTCTCCTTCACCTGAAACACCTGTGCCCCCTAGGCTGGCCTCCTCATGAAGCAGTTCCGAGAGATGAACCCAGGAAAAAGACAAGGTTTCTTTCCCCACAAATATTTTATTTAAATATTAAATTAAAAAACATACATTAATCATTTGGCATACATTTCTCATGTTAACATAAGAAACAAAATAATTCAGTTATGGTAAAAAAAAAAAAACCCTATGTACATTGAGTTAGATGGCACAGTGTCCTCACACGGCCACTGCGTTGAGAGTGCAGAGCGGCGTTGCTGAGACCCACAGGACACACAGCACACACTCTTCAAAAACAAGACACAAAAACATGACTTCACTGTCCTCCAGAAGAGGTTCTACAGCAATGAGGAGAAACACGAACCACTGTGAAAGTAAAGTGCTCATAGTTGCTTCAAAGAGGAAGCACACGGTGGCGGCGAGGCCTTTGATCTGCGCGTTAGAACAGACATCTCGGCAAAGGGGGCCTCTGTGAAATGAGGGCAAAGGGCCTGCTGCCCTGGACGCCGGCTCCTCTCCCGCTCTGACATCTTCCCAAGTCAGCAGGAGCCTGTGGACTTTGCAGCCAGGCACCAGGCAGCCCACTCCAGACAGCCCCTCGCCCCACGTGAGACAGTCACAGAGCGCAGAGCAGTGGGGGCGGAGTAGCAAGCTCACCCATGGCAGGCAGGGCACAGACCATCTGCTGGGCACTGACCGCATGGACACGGACCCCATGCGCCAGCCTGCTCTGCCTCCTACCCTCAAGTAACTGGGTCAATCTTTGGCTTTTAAAAATACCCACTTTCCCCCCTTTCCTAACAACCCCTGTTTAATACTGCAGGTTGTGAGAAGCCAAAGTAAGTTGAAGGCACCTGGGCTGGGTAGAGGGACGGGAGCTTGAGACAGCGAGTGGGGAGCAGCACGTTTCCTTTGTTGCATTCAAGAGGCTTCTGACGCCGGAGCCACCACCTGAGTCTCCCTGCCTAAGGTGAGCCCAAACCTGTCCGGTCAGGGCTGCCCTTCCTGCACCTCCACCCAGCACTGAGGGACAGCAGGCCCTGTGGCCCCTCCCAACCACAAACCTGCTGCTGCTGGGGACGCTTCCTAACATGACCCAGGGAAGCTGTGTCAACCAGGAACACAAAGGCGTGGTACAAAATATAAAAAATAAGTAGTGTATATTTGTCCCTGTTTATATACAGATACAGTATTTGCTCTTAAAAGACAAATAAACAAACAAACAAAAAACCAATGCTATAAAACACTAACTTTACCTTCCTGGAACAAAAGCCTAGCAACACAAGCCCAGCCTGGGTCTGGGGCTCTGTCCCATCCCCTGGGAAGGGTCAGCGAGCCCGGCTCCCACTGTCCTGTTCAGTCATAGCCTACCAACACTGCACCGTTGCACTCAAGTCAGGCCTTCTTGTTGGACCCTGATAGTGAAATGCATAAAAACTTCATTAGCAGCAGAGACAAGACACGGGCACAGCAGAAAGAAACTCCTCAGCGTCCTGATGGCCCTGGGGTCTCTGGGCCCAGTGACCCCTCCCCACTTTTAGGTTCTTCCTGTGGTTCCTCCAAAGAATCCTGGAAAACTGACTCTTGGGCAGTTTATAAAACTTCTCATGTAAAATAAAAAAAAAAAAACAACTGTCCTCTGGGTTCTGATTTCAGGGGAGAGAATCCAAAGAATTCCTTGATTAATTCACCTGGGCCAGCCATTTAGAGCTGTTTTAAAACTGATATATAAAAGCAAAAAGTTCACAGTTTCATAATAGCATAAATGTTTCAAGAAGCAGATTAACTGTTACCTAAAAACGGGATAGTAATCAACACACACACACACACACACACACACACACACACACACAGCCTGCCCAGGTAATCCCATCACCACCCCAGAAAGCCGTGGACAAGGAGCTGAGGTCCCTCTGCCAGGTGGCTCCTCCTGTCCCATCACCCCACCTGTACAGTGGTGCTAGCCAGCCACCGTCTGGCACCCTACTCCTCCCTCCTGTACACCCGCCTGCATGACACACCCTAGATTATTATTTTTCTTCAGAAAGTTTCTAGTCTCTACTCATAGTTGAGGTCACTCAGTGCAAGGAAAAAATAAAACAAAAAATAAACTGAAAAGCCAAAACACCTAACGTATTGCTTGTTTCGCTTCTAGAAAGTTCTTGGCTTTGAGTGCGATAACATCTTCACATACTCTAAAGTTATTGCTTGGAAGAGTCAGTCTCTACACTCAAGGACAAGGGTGGGGTCCTCACTGCACCAGCACGAACGTCCCCAGCTGGCAGGAGGTCAGGTCCTCCATCTCACAGTCCCCCTGTGGCAGTCCTGTGGGGTCATAGCCTGGAGCCAGCATAGCCAGGTGCGGTGGTGGGGGCATGGTGGGGAGGGCCGTTGGACGGGCACTGATGTGGAGGTGGGTGTCAAGCAGCCGTGCCGCTGAGGCCACCGGAGAGATGCTGGCCTGGAGAAGGGGAGGTGGCAGCAGCGGGAGCCCAGCTGTGAGGAGAGCACTGGGGAGCGGGGTGGCCCCAGAACCATCGCAGGGACCGAGCATGTAGGGCTGGGGGGCCTGCTGGCAGGTGTGTAGGGCAGCTGGGTGATGCTGTAACTGGAGCAGCCTGTGAGGACAGGAGGACAGGATGGGTCACTCAGCTGGCTCTGTGTTCCTAGCCTTGCAGGCGTTATCAGGTTTCCAGGTGGCCTGCATCACAGGGCCCACCCACCCCATGGAACTGCTGGCAGGACCAACAAGGGCTGGAGTCCATGACTAATACCTGAGCAATTCCAGACCTTCCATCCCCACCTCGCTCCTCCAGCGTCTCAGACGCCAGCGAGACTTGTTCTCACTCACTGCCATGGGCACCCCTTCTGGGCCTCCCCAAACCAGCCCTGCCTGCTGCCACCTCTGCCTCCTCCCAGTCTCAGGTCCCAGCAACCTCACACGCCTGCCCAGACCAGGGACAGGAGAAGGGAGCACCTGCGAGAGGTGGCCACCTCAGGGCCAGCACGTACCTCTGCTGCTGCAGCACCTCCTCCAGCAGGCTCCGGCCCTCTCGGCCGCTGGCTGTGCTGCTGTGCAGGCCTGGGCTCTGCGCGGGAGGGTGGAAGGGGCTCAGGCCTCCCCTGGTGGCCCGGCTAGAGGGTGACTGGCATACCTGGCGAGCCAGCCCCTTGATCTTGTTCAGCCCCAGAAACCCTTTGGTCCTTGTGGTCTTCCTCAGCTGTTGCCGAAAGGCCTTCAGCCCTGTTGGGGGGCAAAGTGGTCAGCACCTCCATCTCCTGCTCAGGATTGATGGCCCTTGGTGTACAGGGGTTTCCCTCCTTGGGAAGGAGTCAGGGAAGGATGGGGTTGCACACAGGACTGTGTAAGTCTGGCTCCTGAGGCATGGGTGGGCACGCAAATGGGTCCCCCCAACCCCATGCCTCCAATTCAGGAAGTGTGGCCCTGCACAGACATGTCCTCTACACTTCTAGAAGCAGCCAGCAGAGGCCGTTTGTTAGGAGGGTCTGAGTCCAGCCCAGCAGACCAGGACACAAAAGCCAGGGCAGCAACTCTAGCTGCCCAGGACACTGCCAGTCCCACCTGGGCCTAGTAGAGGATGAGGGATGTCATCTGCCATTAAGACAAAGTGACCTGCTGCCAGGGATGGCACTCCCCTGGAGAAGGTGGAAGTGAGTATGGAAGGAACATGGCTTACCCTGAGTCAGCGAGGTGTCCGACGCCCTCCGGCCCTCCTGGAAGCTGACAGGGAGCAGGGCGGCTCCTCCCAGGCCCCCCTGAGCCTGCAGCACAGGAGTGGCAGACTGCGACCCCAGGAATGGTGAGGCCAGTCTAACTGGGGAGTAGGTGCCTAGAAGTCCCTGAGTGACCAGGTCGCCACTGAACCCTGTAGGGCCTTCGCTGGCAGAGAAGGTGGGACAGCTGTCGGAGCTGGCTCCTTCTGCCGGACTTGCTGCGGCGGAGGGGGAGACGATGATGCCTGTGGAGAAACGTGCACTCCTGAGCGAGGCCCCTCACTCCCGAGGCCGGGCAGTCAGGAGCACTGACTATGTGGCAGAGACACAGGCCCTCCCAGGCCTTGGCCAGATCGGTGCAACCCACCACTGATACAGACAGCAGCTGTACTGGCTGTCCCCTCTCTCCTCTCACCAGGATGGGAAAAAAGATGCCCACTGGAAGCTCCAGCCCATGTGGCCCCAAAGGCAAGCCACCATGGGGGTGCAGATGGCAGGTCATCAGTTCATCAGTGAACCTCAGACCCTAAGACACAGAAGAGGCCCAGGGCCAAGGACCTGCTCTCCCAGTGCCTGGAGGTGGCCCAGGGTGCACCCTGCTATAGACTAAAGTCCACTGTCTCCTCAACCAAAATGACTCTACACAGGGCCTCAGTGTCAACTGCGTAGTCTCAGAGACTGAAATAAATAGTAAATCCTGAGGCTCTAAACAGAAGAAGTCTCTAAGCAAGGAAGGTCTGTGCTACCTCAGTCCACCACAGCCATCACCAAGGAAGGTCTGTGCTACCTCAGTCCACCACAGCCATCACCAGGAGCCCACCCAGTGTCTCCCTGGGCCCCCAGGGACACTTACACGGAGGAGTGAGTGGGGAGAAGCGGGCAGAGACCTCTGCCAGGGTGTGCCGCCGGCCTGTGCTGCTGGGCAGGGGCTCCTGGCTCTCCTGCTCCTCTTCCAGCCCTGGGTCCTGCCTGGCCTCCTCGCTGATGGCCGTGTCCAGCAGGCTGCTGGGGGAGATTGGGCGGTGCCGGAACACTCCGTTGCAGTTGGTGTCCACTGGGAAGAACAGGGGCTGCAGCAGAGACAAACCAGTGACTTCCTGGGGCCTCTGAGGCCCGGGCACGTGGGGGTGACACTGCGGGGAAGGAGGTGGGCCTTCCTCAGGCCTGGCGTGGGGCTCACACACCTGGAGTGAGCTGTGGAGGTCACAGTCCATCTCAGCTTGCAGGACGGACTGCGCCAAGGTCTGGGGCTGTGGGCACAGCAGGGTGACGCGGAGAGGGTCAACAGGGAGACCTTCCTGAGGCACCTAGGCGGACAGGAAAAGATGCTGTCAGCTGGGCCAGGCTGGGCTCAGGGCTGTGCTTGGCCACTGGCCCGCGGATGAGTTAGGAACCAGTGGCTACTGGTGGGGCTTAACCCCCAGCAGAGCTGCCAGCACCCTCTTCCCCTTGCTGCCCACATGGGCCCCACCCACACAACTCACATGCCTGAGCTGGAGACTCACAGCTCAGGAGATACAACCCAAGGTGAAACTGGGAAAAGACGCCTCCACCCTTACCTCAAAACCACTGAGGTCAGAGCTCCTGGGCCGGTGCTGCCTGGCAGGCCCAGGGCGGGTACCCTGGGTGCTCCGATACTCCTGGAGTCGCTCGAGCAGAAGGAAATAAATGGCAGCAAAGTGGTTATAGCTGCGGTTCTGCAACGACTGGAGAGACAGAGAGAGGCAGAGATTGGAGAAAGGGTGGCCACCATGGCCCACTATGAAACTGTCCCCAGGTCATTTCTGGGTGGCTGAAAATATCCCTCGGAGCGGTGGACAAGTGGCCCCTACTTAAGCCATGCTTCCATTTTAACTCAGAGGGTGGACACCTGCCTCTCCTGATAAAGCCACCCAACACCTGCCCTGGTGCGCGGCCTGAAGAAGGCTGGGGCAGGCGGGAGCACAGCACGCACCTCCACAGTCCTCTGCCGGTCGATGCCCAGGGTCTGCATGATGCCCAGCACCTGCTCATCAGGCTCGCCCAGGGTGGAGCTGCAGCTGTGCGCTGGAGAGGCCAGGGAGGCCTGCCGCAGCAGGGCGGGGTCCGCCTGCATCCACCGGTGCTGCCGGATCTGGGCAATGGTGATGCGCTTGGCGGGGTCCACCACCAGCATGCGGCGGATCAGGGTCTCGCAGTCTAGGGGTGGGGACAAAGACTCAGCCCCATGGCTGGGCCTGTGCACATTTCTATCCGCCACCTGACCTGGGCCAATGTTTAAGTGACTGTCCCTAGTAACTCAAGGCCGGGAGCACTAGTCTGCACCATGGGCTCAGAATGGCCACCCAAGGAAAGCCACCTGCTAGGGATCAGGCCCCAGGAAGCCAAGCTTGGTCTTCTAAATGTCTGCCAGGCAGAGCCATGATGACACCCCCATTCTGCCGGGACACACACTTGAGTGGGTCATGGGTCAAACAAGCACTGCGTGTGGTGGCCAGGGGGTCAGTGTGCCTGTGGTATGGACACTGCTCACCTACCTTGGGACATGAAGAAGGGGATGCGGAACCGGCCCTCCAGCACCCGCTGTCTCAGAGTCGGAAGGTTGGGCCCGTCAAAGGGGAGGGAGCCACAGACGAGGACGTACAGTACAACGCCAAGGCTCTGTTAAGGACCAAGGCCCACACGTCAGCACCCAGCACCCTCCCCAGAACGGGGCCTCCCTACCAGTCCGGTGGGCTCAGTCTTACCCAGACATCCAGCTGGGGGCCTTCATACTCCTTCCCCTCAAAGACTTCCGGGGCTGCATAGGGAGGGCTCCCACACCACGTGGAGAGAGGCTCTCCTGGCTTGTAGAAATTCCCAAATCCAAAATCTAAGAGGCAAGGAAAAAGAAAGATAAAGTTAAACCAGAAACTGTAGGGGCTGCAGTTCAAGGGTTGCACACAAAAAGCTCGAGGCCCTGGCGGTAAGCTCCCCTCACACCCCACGGCACGGCGGTGCTCTCGGGCGGCTCCCCTCATACCCCACGGCACAGCGGTGCTCTCGGGCGGCTCCCCTCACACCCCACGGCACGGCGGTGCTCTCGGGCGGCTCCCCTCACACCCCACGGCACGGCGGTGCTCTCGGGCAGCTCCCCTCACACCCCACGGCACGGCAGTGCTCTCGGGCAGCTCCCCTCACACCCCACGGCACGGCGGTGCTCTCGGGCGGCCTCCTTGCCTGCCAACTTGATGTCCATGTTGACATCCAGCAGCAGGTTCTCCGTCTTGAGGTCACGGTGAACTATGTGGTGGCTGTGGCAGTACTCCACGGCTGACAGAATCTGCCAGAATGTCTTCCTTGCTTCCTGCTCACTCAGGTGCCCGTTGGAAGTTAAATAATCTGAAGAGCAACAAGAGGAAGCTGTGTCCTCAAATGCAAAGTCTGTAGAATGTGAGGCTGTGCGAGCCCAACACCACCCGAGCAGATCCGGGTCATTAGCACCATTTGATTTTAGCAGATATTAAAAATAAGCGTGACTTACCAAACATTTCTCCATTTTTTGCAAATTCAGTAACAATGTAAAGCATATCCTTTGTTTCCATAACCTAAATAAAAAATAAAGACCTAACATTCAACCACAAGAAAAAGGAACACACTAATGGTATAAATAATCCACTTGAACCCTGATAAATTTTTAACTTCTCTGAGACAAGTACATTCATCATGTAAAAAAAGGGAAAATAAAAAGAAATCTTTGCAATAAAACAAATAAAGGGGATTCCTACTCAGAAAGAGAGCTGCACAAAATCAGAGAGGAGCTCTCCACTAACTTGTTTGCCTATCCTGGTAAGTCTTTGCTCTCACAGATGAGAGTTTCCCTGCACCACTGTACCTAACAGCTTGCCTTGCACGCTCTTGAGGACCTCGCGGCTGCAAGATGCAGATGTCAGAGAGACTGGTAGAGTTCTGCTAGACTTTCTTCTAAAAGCCTAGTAGGCAACAGATGATACCAGCCAAAGGCCAGGGCAGGGTGAGTAACAGATAACAAACACACCAGTCCTACTTGCTTTATCAACAAGATAAATTAGGCCGTAAGAAGCCTGCTTTGCCAGGTGAGCTGTGCCAGCCTGTTCAGTGTATAGCAAATACAATAGCCAATGTCAATATAACCCTTAAAAATTCATTCATTAAGAATTTTATTTCACTTAAAGAGAGATTTAATACATAACTCATGCCTGTATTTTAAAATATTATGTAAAAAGATTTCTGTGGGTTCAAAATACAGAGTTATTCCTTTTAAAAGGCACTTAAAACTGCTTTGAGCTATAGATCTAATAACAAAAATGTCTTTAAGATTTGAGTAGTTTGGCTAGAATTTCAACTGCCCCTGCACCTAAATTCGTGGCAAAATGACACACAGGAAGACCACTTATCCCTCTCCCTAGTCAAAAAAAAAGGGAGAAGGGCAAGGAGAATTCTAAAGGAAAGAGGGACGTGTCTCAGCAGGGTTCCGGGGCCCAGGCCAGCTGGATGAAAATTAGACACCAGCATCTTCAAAACCAGTGGAATAAAAATCGTGGCTATACCACCAAACTCTATCGTCTCCAGACAGTTAAAGACACAGTAGCAATAAGAAAATTCATCTCCAGACAAGAGCTCGGCATCCATCACACAAACAGTGTCCTTAACTGAGCTAACTCCACACGATGGCCAAGTGGAAGAACAAGAAGAAAAGGGAGGTCCAACACTAGGGATCAGCCCTTCAGCAAAGTCCAAAACCAAACCAGCTCAGCCCACTCCCGCGGAAAGGAAAAGGGCCAGGCACACAGCACAGGGATGACATCAGCGCCCTGGAGGAAACTTCTTATCTTGGCACAGAACTTGAAAATGACAACAGAACAAAACAGGAATCCCAGGTGCACAAGGCATGAGTCCTGCGCTGTTGTGAAGCACAAGTTCCAACACCGCTACCTTCATTTTAGTTGAGTAGAGTCTTTTGGGGGGTAACTTCAAATCATAATTCTCTCTCCTATCACCTTGGCAACCCAAGTGCTGCACACTCACATCAGATTCATATGGCACTGAGGGATGAGAGGGATTCTTATCTAACACCACTGGATGAAGTATTGAGCATCTGCAGAGTTTATTCTTCTGCAAGAAGACTTGATTTCATCTTTGCAAAAATGGTCATTTACCACTAGGGAGGTAAGTAAGAGACTGCTTTACTGTTCTAGTTAAATTAGTACTCATTTCCCAAAGATACAATTTATCAGTTTAACTTGTGAACAAAAATAAAGTCACAAAATAAACCAACAGACAGACAGGGTGAGGCATGTTCCTAATGTGGCCTGGATGACAAGTTCCTGCTCTAACTACAGCAGAAGTATTTTCATCTCTCCAATCTTCCTGGAAGAGATTAAGTAGGGAAGACAAATGCTCACTAGTGCCTTTGAAAAGATAAATTAATGAAAACCGGTAAGAGCAGCTGGCTTTAAAGCTTAATAAATATCTGCAGGGGCTGGAGTTTCTCATTTCACTCCAATTTGTCCTGCGGTACTGAGTGCCTGACCTGTGGCAATGCCGTAGCTGTGGTTAATTGTTTTCACAGTAAAACAAATTTAACATCAGGTCTCTACACACTTAAAATGGCAACAAGTTAGAATACTAAATACAATTTTAATGAATCGAATCTCTATCATGATCCAAAAGCAAAAACTAATTGTAAATGCATCAGCACAGCTTACAAAAATCAATCTATTTACCTTATATAACCAACTTCCTGACTCCCACACACACCCAAAAGAAGGGGCAACCTTCAGAAATTTCAGGCTTATGTTGCTGAAAATTAAAAATAATACAGTTGTAATGGCACAAGGCGAAACTGAGCCCTTACCTGGTAAAGCTTTATGATATGAGGATGATTCAGAAGCTTCATGAGCTGAACCTCACGATATATTTTCTCCAAATTGCTTGAATCTAATCGTGTTTTATCAATTATTTTTATTGCAACCTACAGATTTTAAAGAGAAAAGGGTATTTTGTTTTTAAAAAGAATCCTCACTTAACCTATTTTACACAACTCATTTTTTGCAAGTTAATTTCTCAATCACTTTATGCCTCCAAAATATCACAAAAAGTTTGGGAGAAAATAACCAAATAACCACTAAGATTACTTAAAACAATGAAAGTTAAGTGTCTTAAGTGTTTATAGGTTCACTTTACAGGGCTTTAAGTCTGAATCCATGAACCACTGCCCTCCTGGGTTTTTTTCTTTTGGTCATTTTCCTCTTTACTGTCTCCTAATATTTACACAAATTATGTAGAAACATAACATAAAGCAGCATCTCCTTTACCAAACTAAAAACTGTCACTATGACATTTAACCCTACAGGGGCTCCTCAAGGAGGGTCCACCCGCCTCGGGTCAGGCCGCCCAGTCGCGACCCCGGGCCCAGAGGGAGGCCTCGCCCCGCTCCAGCCCCGCGACCCACACACCTGCGTTTTAGTGACTCGATGCCGCGCCAGCTTCACTACAGCGAAATTGCCTTTGCCCAGGGTCCGCTCCACGTCGTAAAAGCCCACCCGGAGGGGCTTCTGCGGGCCCTGACCCGAGCCCGCGGGGGCCGCACTGAACTCCGACATGATCACCATGGCTCCAGGCTGCACCTGCGGGCCACCCAGGGAGCGGGGTTAGCGCCTGACCAGCCCCGGATCCCGCCTGCGGACCGCTCCAGCCGGAGCGCTGGAACCCGTAATCCCCTCGGGACGTGGGGACCCGCTCCCACACCTGTCGCCGGCGCTCGGTTCCTCTCCACCTCCTCCGGACCCCTTTAGCCCGCGGGGCGTTAAGGACCTCCCCGGCCGTAGGCACCATTCCGAGACCCGCGGCCTCCGAACCCCCCGCAACCGGAATACCCTCTCCCGCACCCGTGCCCTGCCGCCCGAGGTCGGTTCCATCTCGTCTCCTGACCCCTGAGGCCTCGGGGCGTGCGGACCCACTCCCACACTTGTCCCCCGCCGTCCACGGTCGGATCCATCCCATCCGCGCGGACCCTCTCCCACCCCCGCCGCCGCTGTAATCGGTTTCATCGACTCCTGACCCCCGAGCCCACAGGGCGCGCGGACTCGCTCCCACACCCGCCCCCCGCAACAAAGGAGGACGAGTGGGCTGGGGGAGGCCGGCGTCCCGGTCCGCGACCCCCACGAGCGCACCTGCGGGGTCGCCAGGGGCCCCCCTCGGCAATCGTAAACCCAAGCCCCCTCCAGGCCGCCCGCTCGGAGCCCCCACGGCGGCCACCTCCGCCCGCCCGGCGTCCGGCGCGGACCAGCCGCCTCACCTTCTCCGCCCTCGGAGCGCTCGGCCCAAG